TCAGAAACAGACCGTGCCCGGGCTGCAACTGTGGTGAAAAGTGTGGCCCTGCTCAGAAGCAATACCCAAAGAGTGCTATTCCGTTGCCATGCCCGCTGTCTACATCACTACACTGTGATTGGAAAACTCGAGCAACAGGAAGTGTGTCATCTGAAGAGAGACCTTAAAAAAAAGAAAGAGAGAAGAACGAGGTGGCAGTGCATTTTGAAGAAATCAAAGGCAGCCAATACAACCCGTGTTTGCTCTGTTGCGTGTCTACTGTAGCTGGCTACTGTCGTGCAGAAGATGCCACCATGATGTACTCTGCGAGAGCAACACTCGCACTGTGCAGTGGAAACACAAACCTGTACTGGGGCCAAGCAGCCAGCTGGCCTGAGTACGGGATGGATTCTAGTAGCAGTGGAAAGACGGCTTTACGGGGACAAGAGAAGAGCAGAAGAACCTGATATCTGCAGCAACAGTTGCATCAATAGGCCAGAATGCAATGCTGCTTAATAAGAATGACAGTTTTGGCCTCTTAGTCTCCTTTGAGCATTTAAAATCAACCACACATTATGTACACAAAGAATGTATCACTTCCTCTCAGTAGGATTGCATTAGTATAAATGTGCCAGATATTTTGATTTTTATTGCCGGGGACTGCTGACATCTGTAGATTTAGTGGAGTGTCTGCCTTCAGTGTTGACACACTGTCATAATAGTTTTTGATGGGGATTGAGAAATATTGCACACAACAAAAATGTCCCAAGTCCATCTTGTAATTGCTACATGAAAGGTGATGCAGACAGTAAGTTAAGGGAAGATGGATACAATAAAAAGCTAATGTACAAATAACTCTTCACTTCTACAATAACTCCCAGGGAGCACCGGATTTAAGATCTAATAGTGCAGGTGTATACAAAGGGGATTTTTTTCCTTTGAGTAAGCCTTAAAAGGGGGTTTACCTTCGACTATCTGTTCCTCCTCAGCTCTGCTGGGAAAATGGTTTCTTTTGATACATACATTATCAGCAGCTGCCTGGGATGAAAACAAATCCATCTGAACAAGCCGGCTTTGATGAAATTACGCAGGAAAGAATGTCAGCTCTTGTCAAAACTGTTGCCACGTGAGATTCGTAGTTCTATATTGAAACGTCATACATTTCATCCAAGATTTAATTTTCTGCTTGAATTTCAGAGGGAGAAAGTAATCATAAGGACGTGTGTCATCATTTAGACAAGCTGTCACCCCAGAATTTGAATTTCAATATTGCATCACACATCTGTCATCCCCAGATTAGACTGCCCATCTCTGCTGTTCTCAGCCAGACGTGAGGTATACGTGATGTACATTATATAGCCGACAAAGCTTTCAATCACAACAGTTGTTCTTTCTCTCAGTTCAGTGATTTCTATTGCTATGGCAGCTATTTGTCTGCAACAGTATAGTCAGTGATGTACAGTTTAGAAATGTAGATGTTCAACAAAATGCTCAACAGCCAACTAATGACACATTCAATTCACACACAATAGATAAATTATTCAGTTTGAAAACAGGAGCACACCCTCATCAGTATCTATAATAGCACTGAATGAAATTGTTGTCTTTCTGTTCTGATAAAACACTATAGTATTAGCAGTACCAAACTCCAATCTCTATTTAAGTTTAAATGGTATCATGCATTTATAGTAACTGACTGGTTCCTAAAACCATTATTAGTCACCAACAGAGACAATTAAAATGATTTACGCAAACTTTCAGAGTATAAAACATTATCTTAGTAGTCTAAAACATTCTTTTAATATAATTGCTATTTCTGAGACTTGGATTAACACTGTAAGAGGAATGGATTTTGACCTTGTAGGCTATGACTTGGTATGCACAAACAGAGAGAATAAGATGGGAGGTGGTGTGGCCTTGTACATAGATAAAAACTTTTGTTATAAGAATGTAGACAAAATGTCTATGGTAGTAGATAATTTACTAGAATGTGTGACTGTAGAACTACTTTTGGAAAAAAAGAAGAATGTTGTAATAAGCTGTATTTATAGAGCACCTGGAGCCAGCATAGAAAAATTTAATGACTGGATGGAAGAAAATTACTCGTCAATAAGTCATAAATTAATGTTTATATGTGGTGACTTTAATATAGATTTGTTGAATCCTAACAAGCACACAGGAACTGAGGAGTTGATTAACACATTATGTAGATGTAGTTTATACCCAACAATTACAAAACCAATTAGAGTAACAACCCAGCATGCAACACTAATAGATAATATATTTGCTAATGATATTGACAGCAAAATGTCTAGTGGATTACTTATAAATGATATTAGTGATCATTTACCAGTATTTGTGGTTTATGATGGCCAGTATAGAAAAGAGAGGCCAAAAACAAATCTTTTTTATAGGAGGGTGATGAACGAACATGCTGTAAGGAGGCTAAAAGAGGACTTTAT